TGGGAAATGAGCTTCAGACAAGTTAAGCACCCGAGACACCGTCCCAGGGCTAGAAACCCACAGACTCGGGATTGTCACGAATAGTGTGTTACTTCGATAATGAGGAAACAGTAACGCCATTCCGATTTTGAAACCTCAAGGCAGAGCGTTACCGTTAGTCATGGGTAGGGTTCAGAAACGCCATCTTGAAGAGCAGCCCCTCCTCCCTGGCCCTCTCTTCCTTTGGACTGTTTTTTGCTTCTCCTGTGTTTCCAGCTTTCTACATGCTTCAGTCAGTCCCAGAGGAGTCGCTGCTCCCAGGGGCCTGGATCCCAGCTCCCTGTGACCAACCGCCGCCCCTGGGTCTGGCCTCCAGGACCTGCACTGGCCCTGGATTCTGCTGGGAAAGTTCCACGGCTGGGCAGGCTCACGCGCGCATCGTGGGGATCCCTGCAATTCATTTAAAACTTTCTCCTTTGACAGATCTGTGCTGAATCTGTATGACCCCTCACATGGACCCGCAGGGATATCTCATCTCCCTTCCTAGTAAATAGAAATTAGTTTCCCCTAAAAGCAGACAAAGACCTGGTTCACTGAGACTTTGCCACAGTTTCCAGGAAAGAGGAAGAAGGATGTCGTTACGCTCGGATCCAAGTCTAAACCTTCCCTGGCTTAGTCCCTGGCTCCGTGTGAGCAGGCGGGAAAGAGCTCCGTGTCTGGTTGTTCTGCAGAATCAGACAATCAGACATGCAGAATGGGTCACGGGTCACGGCTGACCATGTGGCCTGGATTATTTCTTCCTGCTGGCTGTGTGACCTCAGCATCCTGAGATATTTTCCTCAAATAGTGCCAAGGAGTGCTGACAAGGACAAGAAGCTGGAATAGGCAAGGGAGGGTTCTGTTCAGGATCTCAGGGAGGAACCAACACTGCTGAGGCCTTGATCTCAGGCTTCCAGCCTCCAGACCGGGGAGAGAATACACTTCTGTTATTTAAGCCCTCCAGTCTGGGGTACTTTGCCATGGCAGGCCTAGGACACTCACATACCTTTCTTAGCTGGGCAGACTTGACATCAATACCTGTCTCTCTCCAAGTAAAACTTGGAAGGCATAACCATGTACCAGTACCTGCTACAAGGGGAATCAGCAAATGCTAGAAATCAGGTGTCCTCGCCCTTCAGAAGAGCCAGCTTTCCAGGACACCACTCAGGATGGCCACCACTACCACGCGCAAGACGGCTCCTGACGCTCTGAGGCCAGGCTCTGGGGCTTCAATTCTGATGCCGGTTCCAGGGCGTGTGTTTTTCTACATCACCAAGCAGTTAACTCAATTCTGACACTATTTACCAGGACATGGTATCAGGTGTCACAGGGCTATCAGAAGGGGCTCAGCCCTACTCAACAGCTCCCACCCCATCCTGCTGTCAGCTACAAATTGTCACTTGCCACCTGCCTCCACACGGATGAGGTCACCCTCCACTGCAGTCGTCGAAGGTCAACACCCCCTGAAAGGAGCTCAGGGTGGAGATCAGGAAGGAGGCCCTCTGTGCGCTGGGAAAAACTGGCAGAACAGGTCTTCAGATAGTTAGAGGTTTGCAGGAGAAGATTGTATGAGCCCAATGCTTGCATCTCCTCATATCTAGAAAAGCACTACAATCATTAACGGTGACCTCTGCTCTCCCTGACTAGCAGTCAGCCTCTGTCAGAATGTGCACTTGACTGTACGTACCCCCTTCACTAAAATCATATGTGACACTGACCTTCCCTCCTACCTCTTTGGAGCAGTTTCTCAGAGTTATCTGAGATGCTATCTCCCAGGCCGTAGTCCTCATTCTGCCCCCAACAAAACTTTAACTCACAACTCTCACGTTGTGCATTTTTTTTCCCAGTCGACACTGCCCACTTCAGATGCCAATGGCTAGCAGGTACAGGTTGTCACCCGTGCTTCTGAGCAACCGGCTATAGCTCAATCGGAGGTTCCAATGACCCCCTCCTTGGAGCTGAATAATTTGCTAGAGCGGCTCACAGGGAAACATTTTACTTACTAGATCACAGGCTTATTATAAAAGGATTTAACTCAAGAAGAGCCGGATGGAAAGACCCAGAGGGCAGGCGTGGGACGCGTGGGGAGCTTCCACACTCCCTGTGAGCTCCACTCTCCCAAATCACATGCTCACCAGAAGCTCTCCAAACCCGCTTGGGTTTTAAGGAGGCTTCATTCCATAGACATGATTGATGAAATCATTGGCCATCAGTGACTAAACTCAACTTCCTGCCCCTCTTCCCTTCTGGGAGGCTGGGGGTGGGACTGAAAATTTCAGCCCTCTGGTCACAGGATCGCTTCCCCAGGCAAAGGGTTCCCATCTCCTTAACAAAACACTACGACCTGAAGTCCCTTCATTAACATAACAGAAGACGATGCTCTTTTCACTCCCAAGGGTTTTAGGAGCCCCTTGTCAGGAACTGACACAGACCAAATAATATATTTCTCTTTTTTCCTACATTTGTAGGTATTGTGAAATAGTCACCATGATGAGTTAACATCTGTCCTCATACTTAACATTTCTTTCTTGTGATGAGGACTTGTAAGATCTACATTCTTAGCAACTTTCAAAAATGTGATACGGTATCATCAGCTCTGAGATGTAACGTACAGCACGGTGACTATAGTTACTATATTTCTTATTAAAAATCACAACATCACAGAGCACAAAGCTCTCTCCCCACCCTGAGGTGTGTACTTTCCACGGAAGTTCCCAAAGCCACTTCTCTGTGTCCCTAAGGCCTTTGGCCAGATCTGGGGAGACGGGTCCCCTTGCGTTCCCAGTCCAGCCACTTCCTTTCTAGAACATGCTCTCTGCCTGCAGGGATGGCTGGAGGCCAGCACCAACACAGGCAGCTTCAGACACGTATCTTTCTGTCTCCAGCCTTCCGGCCCAAGCTATGTTTACCAGAAAATCCTTTCAAAAGGAAAGCATGTCTGCTGCATGACGATGTGGTGAAGCAGCCCTCCCTGCCCAGCTCTTACCTGTGCACCTGCAGAGTGGAGACCCGGCAAATCATCTCTCTCCCTTCCTCCGCTTCCCTTTTTTTTTTTTCCGGTACGCGGGCCTCTCACTGTTGTGGCCTCTCCCGTTGCGGAGCACAGGCTCCGGACGTGCAGGCTCAGCAGCCATGGCTCACGGGCCCAGCCACTCCGCGGCATGTGGGATCTTCCCGGACCGGGGCACAAACCCGTGTCCCCTGCATCGGCAGGCAGACTCTCAACCATTGTGCCACCAGGGAAGCCCTCCGCTTCCCTTTTATAGAAACGGCTTCTCCCCTTGCTGCTCTCTTTTCCAGCAGCAAGAGAAATGAAACTAATGGCCTGCCACAGAAAAGACACTGAAGAATCAATACACTTCCTGGTGACTTACACAGTTGTCCTCAGACGCCTGGTGAGAGTGTGCATCTGAGTTCCCTGGTGGGCTTGTGAACACACGGGGGTCTGCCCTGCCACCCACCCCAGGATCAGATGCCCGAGATTCTGCTTTGCTAACATGTTCTCAGAGAGGTTGGGGTCGGACCACCCTTGGAGATGTGGTCACTTAGCACAGCGCTGTCCAGCAGGACACTACCTGAGATGCTCTGTGCTGTCACTCTCTCCCCATATTAAGCTCTGAACACGCCAAAAACGGACGTCCACAGCTCCCCGCAGTACCCCACTTGTGCAGTGCATGCCCTCATACTCGGGTTGGTCCCTGTGCTCTCGGAGAGCTCTTGCTGGGAACCCAGCCCTGAGCTAGCCCCACTTTCTGGTCCTGGCTTGGTTACTTGCACCCCAGGGGGCCCCAAAGGTCTCCCGGCGGCGGCGCTGTGACTAAAGGGGGGGTGGGTGAATCAGGCATTGCCATCACCAGAGTGTGGGGAACCACGACGAGGCCCCGGGATGAGGGGTTGGCACGGGATGGGGGAAGCCGGCCTCAGGTTCGGCTTCACACCGGCGATTCTTTCCAAAACAAAAAATAAGATTATAAATTAGAAAATAAATCCTGAGCAGTTCTTTGCTCATTCACTTGACTTGTGGGCAAATTTCCCTTTGAAGAAGAAATTTAGAGGCTAAAAGAATGGTTTTCAAACCCTGGCATTAGGAAGCGACAGGGAGAGTCTCGGGGCCTGTGTCCCGCGGTATCTTTTGCCCGGATCATCCAGAGGCCGTGGGCAGAGGTGAAGGATGGAGGGAGGAACTGGGCAGCCGACTTCACCGCCAATGTCTTGCATCCCAGGGCGGGTGCGTCTATGTTCCAGGAAAGTTGCAAGTGAAGGCACCGCACCTCCGTGGAGGCAGCTGGAGGACCCTGCATCCCCGCTCAGAAGAGCATCCCCTTGGCACGTCCCTCATCCTGACAGCATCCAAGTGCTGGGCTGGTTCTCAAGCTGTGGGGAGCTTGATGATGATTCCCGGCCAGAGCCCCTCATCCCTCTCGGCCCACTGACCCTCTGAGGAAGGGCTGGCTTGAGCGTTCATACAGCCCTGAGCCATCTGGAGCCAGAATGCACCCACCCTCGGCCAGGCCTCTCCTTCTGAGCGTGCTTTCTCAGTCGTACAGAGGAGACCACGCAATGTCTCCCTGATTAATGGATTAAGGAGATTGAGAGACCAAGGAGTCTGAGTCCTAAGTGTGTGTTTGTGCCAGTGGGGTGAAGTAGCAGAGGCTGCTTGGGGGGGTAGAAACCCCCTGACTCTTCACTGTCTGGGCCCCAACTTCTCCAATCGGGGTGACGATGGTGACCCACCTCAGGGCAGATGCTAGGACAGGCCTGGGGTGGGCAGCGCGATGGAGGGTCCTAGCTTTCCTGTCAGGAACAAGCCATGTTCCTGATTTTATGGTGTCAGAAGTCCAAGCATCTAGGAAATAGGGACGCTGAGAGCTCAAGAAGTACCTGCCTTTTCCAGGGCAGAGGCGAGAGCCCCGCCCCTCTCTGTGGGCGGGGCAGCCCTTCCAGCCCCACCCCCCCAACCCGCCGCAGGGAGGGGCAGGTCTGCACACCTGGGAGAGCTCACGGGTGTGGGGAGGGCTTAGGGTCACTTCCCGGGGGTCTGTGTAATTAGGACAGATGTTCAGGGGTGGCTGCCCACGTAAGGCTCGGTTTCCTCGGCAACTTTTGGTTTGTTTTGTTTTCTGGTAATAGACTTTATTTTCTAGAGCAGTTTTAGGTTCCCGGTAGAATTGAGGGGACGGTACAGAGAGCTCCCCCAGACGCCCTGCCCTCCCCCCTGCACAGCCTACCCCACTGTTGACTACCCCCTACCCGAGGGGCACATTTGTCACAATCCATGACCACCCATTGTCACCGGGAGTCCACGGTTTACCCTGGGGTCGCTCTTGGGGTTATACATGCAATGGGTTTGGACATGCGCCCACTGTGACAGTCCCCTATAGAGGGGCCTGCAGTCCTCCTGATCGCCCCTCCCTGCTCGAACCCCTGCAGCCCTCAGGGGTCCCCATGCTGCTGCCTTTTCAGCGATGCCCTAATGCTCTCCAGACGCCGCTTCCAGGCCTCCTCCAAAGTGATCCAGAGCCCAGAAAGGGGTTCTCTCTCATTGCTTGTTTGTGTCCAAACATCTCCTTTTGTTAGGACACCAGTCACATTGAATGAGGGTCACCCTGCTTTAACTTACTACACCTACAATGACCCTGTTTCCACATGAGGTCACATTTTGCGGTACTGGCGGTTAGGACTCAACTCATGAATTTGGGGGGAACAGAATCTAGCCCATAACAGGGCCCCAGCCGAGATCGTATCCAGTGGTTTGCAGACTCCACTGCAGAGAGAGGCCCAGGCTCCCTGAGGGGCCGACAGTCACCCCCCACTGCCACGAGGTTGATGTCCCCCCTGGTTGGCAAAGGGGTGCAAGGATGAGGGCTCACATGTGTCCTGGCAGGAGCTTTGGGGGACCTCTGGACTTCTGCTCTCTCTGGCTTCCATGCCTGAGATGGACGCTCCTTCATCCTGGCTCCGGGCACCCAGAGCTGAGCCTCGGCTGCCCCACGAGGCGCCTGCTACACGAAGGAGACCTCAGCACTGTTGTCAGCCACTGAGATCTGGGTGGCTTGGTCCTGCAAGGGTGCTGAAATTCAGGGTGCCGCGTGCTGCCATGGTTTTCAAAAGAAGCCTGCCGATAAAAGTGCTTGAAAATCATTTGTCTATCCCAATCCCTCTATTTATAGATGAGAAACCGGACGCTCAGAGAAGCACTCTTAAGCTGGTATCAAAGTCTCCTACCATTTCTGGTAGCCAGGCTTGGGAGGGAGGTTAGAATGGGCACTTGGCAGTGACTTGAGTTTCTTAACCCCAAGTCCCTGGGTACCTTGGTCTGTAGATCTATGGTGTGTCTCCTAGGAAACCTGGGGTATACAGTGGCTCTCCCGAGAGCAGACTCTGCTCACCTGTCAGAGATCCTTCTCCCCCACCCTGTTAGACAAGGTCCCACCGGCCACTGGAGTGACACCCCAGCATGGAGGCGGACACGGAATATCCTCACTACCGCACCGCACCGCTGGTGCCTGAGTTAGGCGCACCCAGATTCGTGGAATGAGTAAATTCAGGGACCTGCAGGGGGAGTTCAAGAGCTCAACCGGGGTTGACCCAGGAAAGTTGCTAAGCCCTCTGACTGCTGTTCATCCTGAGAGGTAGGATGTCCGAAAGGAGGGTGTGCTCGGTGATCGGGGAATAAAGGTTTTCTCTCTGCAGAGCTGTCTGGACCACAGGGATCAAACACAGATCCAATCATAAAGTGGCTCCACATCTGGACAAGCAGTGGCTGCTTCCCCGCCCCCCCGCCCCCAGTCCTCTCCTTTCAAGGGGAAGTCACTGCATCCCCTTCAACAATTCCCATGCATTTCACCTGTCCTGCTCACTACCTTCATTCCATAAACACTGGCATAAGAAGTCTGTGCGACAAGATTTTAGACAACTGGAAAATATTTTGGTCCGCTGGTTGACGACAAACCCAAAATACTCATCAAATATTGACTGTTGGCTAAGAGTTGTGGTCCATTCGGGATGCATTTGTCCATAAAAGGCACCTTTATTGAGGCCGGGCAATGTTAGCTTGGTCTTTTTGGTATGCAGCCTTCTACCTGGATCTCTGCGGGCCAGCCCGGATACCTGTTCTTCGCATTATCTGAGTGGTTGACCTGTGCAAAGGAAAGAAAAGGAGTTAATTTATCCATTCATCTAATCAACAAATGGTCAGCGAGCCAGCTGTGAGCAAAGTCACAAAAAGAGAATCACTTCCTAGGATGGGATTTGTTACAACCTACTCAGGGTACGTGATTTCCTCTCAATGTGACTCAATATTTGAAGCAACTTGATTCAACAGGTGGAAAACTTTCTGCTATGGTGTAAGTGTCCTTTAATCCACGTGCCCAGGAGAGTAGCCACTAGCCACATTTGGCTACTGAATACTTGAAACGTGGCTAGCGTGACTGATGAACTGAATTTTAAATTCTCTTTAACTTGCATCAGTTTAAATGTAACCTGCAAATCTGGCGAGTAGCTGCCGTCCCATATGGGACGGCACAACTCTCAAGTCTGGTTTTCAGTTCTCTGGGAGAAGGACTATGTATTTTCTTCAGGGTAATCGGAGTGTTCCTTGCTCAGAAGGAACACTTGTTCCTTGTTCAGATTGATTTGACTTTAAGGCTTTCCATCTTCAATTCTTTCACAGACAATGGAGCACCTTAAACTCATGCTTAAAAAGAATAAGAATATGCGTTCTAAACTTTGGAATTCTAGTTTTATGTCTCTTTTTAATATAACAGCTTTGCTGAGACAGAATTCACATCCTATAAAATTCACCCATTTAAAGTGTACAATTCAATGGCTTTTAGTATATTCACAAAGGCATGCAGCTCTCATCACAGTCAATTTTAGAACATTTTCATCCCGGGAACAAGAACGCACAAACCCATTCGAATCTACTCGCCATCCTCCACAGCCTTTAGACAGCCCCTAATCTAGTTTCTGTCTCTGGACAGAAATCTAGAAATTTTATATAAATGGAATCATACAGTATGTGTCCTTTTGTGTTTGGTTTTCCTCACTTAGTGTGTTTTCAAGGTTCGTCCATGTCATAGCCTATATCACTACTCCATTTCTGTATGTGCCTTAATGATATTCCAGTGTGTGGCTATACCGTATTTTATTTATACATTTTAAAATCTATTCATCAGGCACTTGGGTTGTTTCTGCTTTTTTGCTGTTATGAATAATAGCACATTCTTGTACAAGTTTTTGTGTGACCGTATGTTTTTCATTCTCTTAGCTATGTATCTATGAGTGGAATTGCTAGGACATATGGTAACTGGTTTTCAGGAAAGGATGTCTAGCAACCACTCACCTTTTCTCTCTGAATTCCTGCAGGAAGTTCAAAGCCTTTTGCTCCAAGAAATACCCAGCTCGACCTGAAGCGAATGTTCCTGATCTCTTTACTTCCCAGGGCTTCTATGGCCTTCTTAGCGTCCTCCTTCAGTCTGCGGGGCAAAGGGGGAAGCGTGTGAATGTCTCACCTGCAGACTCGGGTATGTGGTGCTAGGACACAGTCTGTCCTAGGACAGGTTTCTAAAGCAGCGCCTGCCCTCCTGGGGTGCAGGGCAGGAGGGAAACGCACCTGCTGGCTGAGTGTGTCACATCTCTAGTTACACGTAAGGCCACATCCAGGACTCTTTTAGACTCAGTTTGGGGCCCAGAGTTTTAATTCTCAATTCGGAAAAGCCCTGGGTCTTGGGGTTCAGTCATCCTCATCCCAGCCAGCATAGTTTTTGGTCCTTGCTGCCCTCCTGTTTACTGACCACCAATAAAGAGAACAGAAGTTGCTGAAAGATGAAAACAAGTGTCAAAACTGTCCCTTTCATATTCAGAAAAGTCAGTATCAAAAATGAAAAACAAAAACAAAACCTAAAGAATCCTACCGTTGTAGAAAGGTGCAATTCAGGGCAAAGTAAAGGGAGGTGGGCAGAAAGGAGAAGAAAAAATAAGTTCAGATTTTCCTAAATGGGTTACATCTGAGTCTTTCAAAGCACATGTCAAAGAACTTCCATCTGGGAAGATGCTCTTTTAAGAATAAGATCTGAATTCAAACAAATTTGGGAAATGCCACATTCAGTAGCCCCATCTCGGAAATTCACGATGCCTAGAAGCGCTCTGGGGTTCTCGGAAGTTAGGCAGTGAAGACGCACACGTTTGCGCAGGAGAGCACGCTTGGAGAAACACTGACCAGGTCATCTTCTCCCTAGTGAAAGCATCGTGTATGTGTGCGTGCGTGTGTGCGTGCGCGTGCGCGTGCGTGCGTATAAGTCCCACCCTGGGTTTAGCTCTTTGGCCAAGGGTTAGCTTTGCTATTTTATTTATGGTCAGTGGTGGCTTTGTCTTGCTACCTGGAAATATTCCTTAGTTTCTAGGATTTATGTGCCCCACCAGCTTGTTGTTTCTCTAGAAATGCGGTCTGTTCCTCATGGTTTCCCATTCCTTTTCCTTGAAGAAGCATCCTTCTCCTTGGACCTCTGTCGTCTCCTAAATGATGTACTGAGGAAGACTGAGAGCCCTGATGCTCTGCCCCCCCCCCCCCCCCCCCCCCCCGCGCTGGCTTCCCTGACTCTCACCCCTGCTGTGACAAGTCTGCACTCACCTGCTGCTACCGTCATCGTGGGTCACCATGAAGAGCAGGGAGTTCGAGGGAGCGCTCTGAATAAAATTCGTCATCGGTCCAGAGTTATCTGCCGGGTCAATGCAAATCAGTCTTAGGACCTTCTCTGTCAGCTGAGACTCTGGCCCTAGAGGCTGTGCTTCTGCTCTCAGCTTCTGTGCCCCGGGCTCTGAATCCTCTGATTCTAGAACTGTCTCTCGACCACGCAAATGATGCTTTAGCGCTTTCATAGTAAATGGCCTGTGGCTTCCACGGTGGGGCGATGTGAGGCAAGCAGCATGATCGGATCATAAAGATTCTAGCGATCAGCTCTGAAACCAACCGGCAACGACTTCGGCAACACAGGTGGGCTCTTCTTTGCAATTAATAAGAAAACACCGAACCTGGGCATGACCCTCTAAGAGCCGAGTGGCTCCAGGACACTGAGGAGAAATACGAGACATAACAGACCACACCGGGATGGGTAAGTCCTTGCCAAGAGACCCCTCTGTTCCTTACAGAGAGGAAATAAAGGCTCAGCTCAAACCCTGTTATTTACCACTGGGGCTTGTATATGTAGTTGTGATTAACGGCATCGTTCCCGAGTGCATCCGGGCACTTCTAATTGTTCCTCTCCATTATCTTTATAAAGATTTGTTTTAGGTAATTCTCAGTGTTAAATAAAAACAACTTCAGTCAAGATCCAGAGTCCAGAATGGAGGGACAGTTGGAGGAGGATGGACACCCTGGGCTCCAGGAATGCGTGCACCACACCCAGCGCCGTGAACACGGCAGTAATGATGATGACATTCAGGGCTGGAGGCTGATCACATTATTCTACATGTTTGGTTTCAAAAAAGAAAGAGATATTTTCTCTTTCCCATTATCCGAGGAAGGGGCAGAAGGAAAAGATCCAGGACAAGTGTGATCAAAGAAAAGACATTTTCTAGATAATGTCTTCAAATTTTAATACGTGAACTCAGAGACCACGAGGGTTTATGTAAGACAGTTCTAGAAAAAATTTGCTTCCGGCAAACTTTTTGGGAGACAAAATAAGAATGTTTGATGTTTTGGTTGTGTTTTTTTTATCCTAATTTGTGTGTATAATTCATTTTGATTTTAAGAGGAAAAGAGTTTCCTTACCTCCTTCGTACATATCAAAATACTGTGTTGCTAATACTTTCCCAGTCACATCTGGAAATGAGAGACACAGTTTTTAAAAGAAGGTACATGGGGACTCAGGGCACATTCTGAAAACAGCGTGTTCCTTCTCTGTCTCTTTCCGGGAAGCATGACTGCCGTGGTCCCACCTGAAGGAAAGGACCGCCTTCCCTGAAGGGGGCCCCAGTGATTCGGGTCAGGAAGGCTAGGGCTCACACCGGCTGCCCAGAGCATCCCTCCCACCTGCTTCCAGTTAGATTCACGCCCACATTCTTTCCCAGTGCACCTGCCTCTTCCCACAAACACCAGGGCCCCCACTCAGCCCTTTCTGCTGCCCCCTGTAGCTTTCCCTGCAGATCAGGTACATTTTCCTCAGGTTCCTGCAGCCCTCTGTCACTGGACTATGTGCTCACCTTGCTCATAGGGACAGACGCCAAGGGAAACCCTTTCCCCAAACCTGCTACAGTTCTTACTGTCAGGGGCCCCGATGGCAATAGTGACAGATGTGTTTCTTTTCTTTCCAGGCCTAAGAGGAGGGCAGGCTGTGCTTCCCCTGAGGCCCTTTTATCAGACAAAGGTAGGAACTGGTGTCACCTTCTGCTGGGCCACCAGGAATCAGAGCAAACGTGAAGCCCAACTCCAGGGTGTCTGTACCCCCAGGTCTGCTGATCTGGTTTTAGCTCTGAATTCAGCAGGTCCTTCTTTGTTTTTTTTAAAATCAGTTTATATTTGATTTCAGTTTTTTGGTAGAACCAGAAATCTCTAAAGTGAGGCACTGTAAAAAATAGTTAAATATATACTCTTAAAATGCATTAAAATATAAACCTAGACTAGATCGTGTGCAGAAATCATAAAGAAACCCAAGGTACCACTGAATATCCAATCACAGAGCTTTTAGAGGAGTTTTAAAGAAAACATTTAATAACTTACAGTTGACAATGGCAATATTTATTCCTCTTGCCACATTCCCAGTCTTTTCTCCTATGAGCCTGAAATGTAGATAAGCATCGGTCAAAGAACTCCTTTCTCACCAAGCAGTGAGTAGCCCTCCCTGCTCTGTAAGATCCTCTCTTGGCAAAATTACTGTCCATCCTTTGTCACTTACCATTTCCTTGTAGATACGCACTGGCCTTGACCCAGCTCCCTTGAAAGTCACCCCTACACTCGCTCCACACATCCATCCCCACACATCTCTACAGTCTGAGTCCCTCAGGGAACCTGGAAACTGCATGTAGTCCTATAATTTATACAAATGGCCAGGGAGAGAAACACCAGTGTTTGTTTAGCACGGGCTCTTTGCAAACATTCTCTCAACCTCAACCTCCTCATGGGCGGGCGTTCATTTTCCCACTTCATAAATATGGAGTACAACAACCAGTAGAAGGGATTAGGAGCCAGAAAGTCTGGAGACAAACACACACACACAAAACCTGGTTACTTTCATAGTATGATGAAGCTTACTAGACCATGAACGAGGAGATGAGAAGTGGGATGAGAAAGGAGATGGCAAAGTAAATTGATACTGAAGATGTATACTTGCTGGGTTTCGACAGTTGATGGGATGCGAGGAACACAAGAGAAGGGTTGACAAACACGAAGGACACATTCAAACTGGCTGGCTGGAAAAAAAATGAGGTACAAGAGGTGGATGAATAAGAGATGGGTCTGACCCAACTCTGGTATCAGCTTCCATGCCTCCTCTCCCCATCAGTGCTCTGACGGAGGTTTTGCGGACACCTGGAGATGCTTCTATCCAACCACAAAATGTAACCCTGATTATCCCCTTAAATAAATCCCTTACACTACTTCACTTAATTTTTACTTTTAAATTGGAGAATATGAAATGCCAGTTTCAAGGGGATTGTGTCCTAAAACCAAGAAGAAGACTGACCTTCCTGGAAATGTGAAATATTACTGAAGATCTTTGTGTGTGTGTGTGTGTGAGAGCATGTGTGTGTGTGTGTGTGTGTGTGTGTGTGTGTGTGTGTGCGCATCTGTATGAGTGCATGCATCCTCTGGCAAGTTTTAAAATCAATGATACATTATCTTCATAAGAAGTCAAAGGCATGCAGGTTAGAAAAGAAGTGTTATGACTGCCTTTTTTTTTTTTTTTTTTTTTGTAGATGACATGATCACCTATGTAGAAAATCCAGTGGAGTCTACAACAAAGCTACTAGAACTAATAAGTGAGGTTAGGAAGGTTGCAGGATACAAGATCATTATATAAAAGTCAATTGTATTTCTACATACTAGCAACTAATGATGGGAAATTGAAATTTTAAACTTAATTTTTTTAACTTTTAAATTCTAAATTAAAAAATATATACAATAGCATAAAAGTATGAGATATTTAGCGATAAATATGGCAAAAGTATCTGCAGATGCATACACTGAATACTACAAACCATTACTGAGACAAATTAGATTTAAATAAATTGAGGTAAGTAAAAGACTCAATATTGCTAAGATGTCAATTCTCCCCAAATTATCTAGAGATCTAATGCAATCTCAAAAAGAAAAAAAAAAAGAAAAAAGCCAGTAGGCTTTTGTGTAGGCATTTATAAGCTGATTCAAAAATTCATATGGAAATAGAATTTAGAATAGTCAAAATAATTTTGAAAAAAAGAACAAAATTGAAGAAATTATAATATTGAACTTCAAGATTTACTGTAAAGTTATAGTTATCAAAATTACTGCATATAGTGAAAAGACAGACAAACAGATAAATGGAGGAGAATAGAGGGTCCAGAATTAGATACACACGTATATGGTCACTTGATTTTTGCCAGTGGTGCAAAAAGAATTCAGTAGAGAAAGACAGTATTGTGAAAAATGGTGCTAGAACAATTAAGTAGCCATGTTTTTAAATGACTACAATTCATATCTCACACCATTTGCAAAAATTAACTCAACATGGGTATATCATATTATATAAAGTGGAAAACCTAAAATTATCCAACTTCTAGAAGTTTGGAAGAAACTTCGGAGAGCTTTGAAGAAAAATTTTGTGGGTTAGACAAAAGGTTCTTAGAGATGACATGAAAAACATGCTCCATAAAAGGAAACCATGGATAAATTAGACTTCATTAAAAGTAAGAATTTCTGCTCTTTGAGAAATACTGTTAAGAGAAGAAGAACACAAGAAACAAGCTGGGAGAATCTATAGGAAAATCATATATTTAATAAAGAACTTGAATACAAAACACATAAACAAACCTCAGAATTCATAATAAGAAAACAACCCAATTAAAAATGAACAGATTTGAATAGGCACTTAGCAAAACAAGGTATACACACAGCAAATAAACACATGAAAAGAGGCGCAACATCATTAGCTATTAGAGAAATGCAAATTAAGATCACAGCCAGATACTGCTGCATACCTATTAGAATGTCTACAGTTAGAAAGACTGACCATACCAAGCGCTGGTGAATATAGTGGCAGATTAACTGAAACTCTCATACACTGATAGGAATGTAAAATGGTACAGCCACTTTGCTTTAGATATTTTTCCCCACTTTCTTCTTGCTTGGCGTGGTTTCTGAAGAAAAGCCTGATGTAATTCCTCCCCTGTTCTTTTATAAGTAAAGTGGTTTTTTTGGTTTCATTTTATTTTGTTGTTGTTGTTGGTTTTGCCTCTGGCTACTTTCCAGATTTCCTCTTTGTCTTTAATCTTCTCTAGTTTGAACACAATTTACTTAGGTGTACATTTGGGGGTATTTATCCTGCTTGGTTTTCTCTGAGCTTCCTGGATCTGTGGTTTGGTGTCTGTGGATAATTTTGAAAAGTTCTCAGCAGTATTACTTCAAATATTTCTGTTTCTTTCTCGCTTCTTTTTTCTGGTATTCTTATTACATGTATTGTACCTTTCGTAGTTGTCCCACAGTTCTTGGATATTCTGTTCTTTTTTATTTTTCAGGTTTTTAATTATTTTTTTCTTCCTCTTTTCTCAGTTTGGGAGGTATTATTGCCATAGCCTGAAGGTCAATGATTCTTTCCTTGGTTGTGTCCAGTCTACTAATGAGCCCATGAAAGGAGTTCTTCATTTCTGTCATGGTGTTTTTAATTTCCACCATTTCTTTTTCATTCTTCCTTAGGGTGTCCATCTGTCTGCTTACATTACTCATTTGTTCTTGTATTCTGTCCACTTTTTCTATTGCAGCTCTTAGCATATGAATCATAGCTGTTTTATATTCCTGGTATGCTAATTCCAAAATTTCTGCCATATTTGGGCAAGGTACTGATGCTTTCCCTGTCTCTTCAAACTGTGGTTTTTTACTTTTCATACGTCTTGTTATTTTTTGTTGAAAGCCAGACGTGGTATACTTGGTAAATAGGTCTTTAGTGTGAATGTTATGTTCGTCTGGCAGGGAGTTAGGCTCTGTTTACTATTTGCTGTAGCCGTAGGTGTCAGAGGCTAACATTTCTCCTCTCTTTCTTGGGTATCCCTATAGACTCTTTTACATTGGGTTTGAGACTTTCAGTTTTTTTCAGCTGTAATCCCTTGTTATTTTACAGGAGCCCTATTATGTGGTAGTAAGACGTCAGGAATGAGGAAGTGTTCCATAGGCCTGTGATCAGGTCTCAGTCTTTTAGTGAGCCTGTGCCCCTGAGCTGTGGCCTTCACAAGTGGCTTTTTTTTTCTTTCACGACTTAGGGGAGACAGGAAGGCCAGAGGGGCCTGGAGTTGGGTATTTCCCTCCCCCAGGTTGGCTAGTCTTTGGTAAAACCTTCATTGGTTAGACTCTGGTAAAACAGTTTCCCTCGAAGACAAGCCTGCTGAGAAGAACAGAGCACTGGGGACATATTTCAAAATGGCTACTTTCCCATTCCCACCGCCAGAAGCATGAGGGGATTTTTCTTCAGTCTTCCCTCTGAAAGCCTGGTAGGGCTCCTGGAGGAGAAACTCAGGAAGGTGTAGGAGCTCCTCCAAGGCTTGGCCTCCAGGAGTTAATCTCTCAAGCTCATCCAAGCTCAGTCTCCAGCAATTAGTCACTTACCCTTTAAGGGTTCCTACCGGATGCTAGATCCAGCTGAGCTCCCTGCTCCAGGTAATCTGTGATTTGATGAATCTGCCTGTCTCTCCAGTTTTCAGGGCGGTGGTTTTCCCTGTGACCTCAATTCTCTTGTATGTATGCATTTTTAATATACAGCATAATTTGGGGTTTATGTGCTGTGATTCAATCTAAGAATTGCCTCCTTTTAATTGGCATTTTTACAGGCCACTTAATATATGTGAGATATATTTGTTCTTTATGATAACTTCATAATTGGGTTGCTTTCTGTTTTTGCTGCTTGTCAAATATTTTAATTTTTGCTTTCACTATATGGTGTGTATTTTCTTTGCTTTGTTAAAGGTCAGGTATTAACGACAGCATAAGCATATTTTAACATGCCATCTAAAAAATGAAAAGACAAAATATGGAGAGCAGTTTTATAACGCAAAAGGGCTAACTACCTTAATACATAAAGAATCTTATAAATCAATTTAAAAAGCCCAGGGATAGGAATAAAAATGGGCAGGAGATATAAACAGTTCACAGAAAATACATACAGCCATCCCTCCATATCTGCAGGACCTGCCACGGACACCAAAATCCACGGGTGCCCGAGTTCCATAGCCGGCCCTCTGTATCTTGAGATCTGCATGAGTGGATTCAACCTACCATGGATCATAAACATAGTATGTTATCCATGGTTGGTTGAATCCGCAGATGTGGAGCCCATGGGGAGGGAGGGCTGACTGTACAGCCATTCTTAGCATGAAAAGACCCTGGATTCACTCACAGCAAGAGCAATAAAACACTAATCTGAGACTAACTTTCTTCTCTCAGAATGGCAAAACTCAAAATATTAGTCAACATGCCTTGCTGGACAGACTGTGAGGGAACAGTCATTCTCATTGTGTGAATCTGAGTCCTCTGAAAAGCAGATACCAAAACAGGGTTAAATGAGCTAGAATTTTTATTAGGGGAAATACCTACGAGAGAAGGTGAGAGGGGTGGGGTTAAGCAGGGCGAGTTGTCAGACCCCAACTCAAGCCTGACCCTAAGGGGAGGAAAGGGAAAAAGCTGGGGTGGGCATGTCCTAGGCGGCCAGGCAGTCTCAGGAGACTTCGGCAAGACCAGTGGGCATCTTGGAACGCAAGCTGGGCTTCAGCTGAGCCTGTGTGGCCCAGGAATGGGGCTGCCTGGTATCTCAAGGTTCTGATAAGGAGTCTCTCCTTGACCAAACTCTACTCAGGCCCCCCCGAGCTCTTTTTAAACTAGGCCTGACTTTTGGACTTCCGCTCATCTCTGCATTGTCCAATTTTAGCAAGAATTCTGCTAAGTCAGTTTAACCAGAAAGCCCCACCTTTGATATGTGACGGCCATCCATATTAAATCAGTTTCTGAATCCTCCTCCACCCTCCAGGTCCCGCCTTCAGCAAGAATCTTGTTAACCTGTTTAGCCAGAATCCCCTCAACCCTGATGTTTCCTCTTAGTAATTTTCTATCCACAATCTCCACCCTGCTCCTTGGCTGTAAATGCTTGCCCGTGATGTGTCTGGAGTTGAATCCAATCTCTCTCCCCTACAAGACCCCCCAAGAGTGGTCCCTATGCTTACTGCCATCACCCCCTTGAATAAAGTCGGCCTGACCATTTGCATGAAGTGTCAAGAATAATTTTTTCTGTAACAGGTCTCAGTCACTGGCTAGGAGCAGCCAGGGGAAGCCGGGCCTCCAGCAAACCTACTATGGATTTTATGCAGCAACTGGAACTCTTGGCCAATGTACCACCGGCCCCTAGAAACCTGAGAAGTGCATTCTCACGGTCACCACACTCAGACATTGCCGGGGTGAGAGTCACTTAATGCCAGGCAAAGACTTCAAAGTGGGAGCTATTCATAATTGAGAAATCTATCCTCGGCCAAACTCTCAGTTAATCGTTGGTGGGAATGAATACATTTTAAACATGAAGAATCTTTAAAAATATTACCTCCCCTTATACCCTTTTCTCAGGATGTTATTGGGAGATGTGCTCCAGCAAAACAAGGGTGGAAACTAAGAAAGTGGAAGGTACTGTATCCAGGAAACAGGGACTCCAGCTACAGAGAGGGAGGCAAAGGTCATCCCCAGGATGGTGGTGGGGAGGGGTCCCCGCATGTCAGCTGCATGGTAGCTGCAGGGTAACCTGGCTGATTGGAGAGGGACAGAAGCTTCACGGGTGAAGTTGGTAAATATCTGATGTGAGAGATTTATTTTAACCAGAGGAAAGTTTAGGGATTAAACTGATGTAACTTCATGGAAAACCAAGCGAGCCAACAGTAAACGAAACGTAATTATTGTATACAACATGCTTCAGTCATGAAGAACCTCTGTTTAGTCCTGTTAGAAAAAAACCAAACTGGAGGGACTTCCCTGGTGGCGCAGTGGTTAAGACTCCGTGTTCCCAATGCAGGGGCCCGGGTTCGATCCGTGGTCAGGGAACTAGATCCCACATGCATGCCGAAGCTAAGAGTTCGCATGCCACAAACTAAGGAGCCCACAGCTAAGACCCGGTGCAACCAAATTAATTAATTAAGTAAGTAAGTAGTAAAAAAAAACCAAACTGGAGGCCACAGTTTGAATATATCCCTAGATGGACCCTCACGGTCACAAACCCAAACTTAAAACTGCCCTGACGTCCCCCAAATGCTGACTCTGACCTTAAACAAAACCTAAGCTTTCTTTATGTCAGCATGACCTTGCAGTTATGAACAAGTCAGCTCATGCAATGCAACGGCACATAAGTTTCTAGTAACAAACCACACTAGAAAACACTGCACTTACTCATTCAAACTTTATAAGCCGAGCCGTGGCCGTGGAGCGCCACGCCACCTAACCACCTTCCATTTGGAAATCTTGTTTGCCAGGAGTTGGGTTCTCCCTTGGTAAAATATTCCTATCAAGTAAACTCTCTGAATTTTATTTTCACAGTCATAGTCATGTAAATGATGAAGTTTGCTCAAACCGTGATGACAGTATAGTAACTTAATCAGGACAATGGTAAGGGAAGAGGACAGGAATTGGGTGATGGTGGAAAAGAGCTGACCTCCCGAGGGGCAGGGCAGCTGATAATTCTGAAAACCGGAAACAAGGAAGTTGTAATGTAAACCCGCTGTTTAGAGGTGTGGGTGTGAGTGAGTAGGGGGACTCTACTGACAGATGGAGGGGCTGTCCCTGGGGGAGGTATGTTTGCAGGTGCCCAGGACATGCTGGCTGTAGGGATGAAGCAAATGGCAAAAAACCTCTTGTCTTTCTACATAAACCTGATATATATATAAATATATAAATAT